ATATAGTATATACTATATATATATATATATATATATATATATATATATATATATATATATATATATATATATATATATATATACAAGAACTGTGAACTTGGTCAATGGGTTAATGTAGTTAATACACGTATATTTGTGTTAATGTGTTAACGCAAACTATGACGAAATTAATAGTAAGCCTTCTATATTGTGTTAATGAGTTTCTATATTGTGTTAATGAGTTTCTATATTGAGTTTCAATGAGTACTGTTTGTTTGTAATTTAAGATTTTTTAGCAATTGTACAAGGTATGCAATTCAGCCCGGTGGCTGCAAACTACTTTCAATAAACCATCTATTATTATTATTATTATTACAATAAAAAGCCGGGAGGTATAAAATCTCAGATTTTACTTGTTACATTCTTAGTACGACTGCAAACTAACGAGAATTCTGAGTTAGTTATCCTGGTGTTAAATGTAAAGTCCTTCCACGTGGTGCATAAGGCGGCGCGCATCTCTGGTTTAGTAGCCTTTGGGCCACGCAGTTCTGCAATCACTACAGGAAGGGTGTAACTGACAATCAAGTGTTAAATGAATGAAGGAATGCCCTTTATTGTACGTTTGTGCTCTTACAAGCTGAGTACAGATCGTGATTGAAGCGGAAGTAACAAACAGCAATATCTTATCCAAACTATACATACTAAAGTTAGTTACTATGTGCAGGTTCAACTTCTCGCTTCTTAAGACAATTGTAGATATATGAGCATATGGAGCTAATGATTACGAATACTCGAACGGCCAACACAAAACTACGGATTAGTTCACAAAACTCCACATTGAAAAAGGAAGACATAACGACGTTCCTCTGCAGCAAAGAATTTGCCAACATTGTGACTTATATAAGATAAGATCGAAGACGAGTTCATTTTGTTGTTGAATGTGATTTATATAGAAACTAGAGTTCCACGATCTCATACCTTCGCAAAATGATGTTAACCCTTGCGGTTGACTAATTATATACAATTTTAAATGTTGATTTTGTAAATAAGAGCCTTATTTGCATGGATTATATCAGTTGATCATATTCTCCACCCAATGACAGCCTTATCTTAACAAAGGCTATTATAGCACTTCCTCATAAATTATGCAAATGAG